ATCAATCATGCTTGTGTAATAAAACCTCTATAAAAACCCCAAGTGTCTGAGAGATTCCAGGTTGTTGAACTCATTCATATTCTGGGAAGGCAGTGCATCCCAAATCCAGTGGATGGCAGTTTCTGCATTTGGGACCCTTCTGGACCTTGCCCTATGTACCTTTCTTTTCCTTTGTTTTAAAACTATGTTCTTTATAATGAACCAGTAATAGGAAGTAGTGTCCCTGAGTTCTGTGGGCCCTTATAGCAAATTATTGAACCTGAGGAGGGGGTTGTGGGAACTCCCAATCAGTAGGTAAGTGAGACAGAAGTGTGGGTAATCTGGAGATCTATTACTTGTGATTGTTGTCTGAAGTGGGGAGAAGGCAGTCTTATGGGAATAAGCCCCTAACCAGAGAGGTCTGCACTAACTCTGGGCAGTGTCAGAATTGAATCAAATTGTAGGATACCTAGCTGGTGTCCTCAAATAATAGAATTGCTTGGTGTGAGAAACCCACACATTCTTTGCCAGAAGTATTGTGAGCAGAGGAACCATTTTCTTTCACTTGGTACCCAGTGGATGCATAGGGTAGGGGGAAAGGAGGATACACAATGTGAAAGAGGACAAGGACTTATCACTAGGCTGCTATCTGGGATGGGACCAAAGAAACATGCCCTAAGGAATGAGCAGAGATCCCAACACAAGAGAGCAAAGGGTATGCAGAGGGAAACCTACGAGACTATCCATGAAGCAGTTTCTGTAGGTGGTCCCGAGAAAGACCCTCCTCTGAGGCCCAAGACAGCAAGGAGAGAGAGCGTCACATGGAGCAGCAACTCACTTTGTGTCCCTCAGTGGGACTGAGATCCTGCTGCATGGGGCTGAGATCCAGGAATCCCCTTGGGGGGTCGAGAACCTTGGAGTATCCTAATGAGAAATCCTAGGTAAAGGGCCCAGAGCATCTAGGTTTCCTCCCCTCGAGTCTATGTCTCCTTCTCCTTTTCCTAGAACTGCCCGGATTGAGGTTCATTCCTCTCTTGCATCCCCAGCCAGCTGGAGCGTTGGAGCCAAAGGCAGATGTATGTGTTTCCTTCTCTTGCCCTCCTCCACTCTGCCCCAGTTTTGGGCTGGTGTCGGCGATCCCCACTGCCTGAATACTACCAGTAAGAAGACAGACAGAGGGCAGAGAGAGTGTGGACTTGGTGGGAGGAAGACTGCAGTAGCATAGCCCACGGTTCCCATCCCCACCTCTACCTTTCCTGGTCCAGCACCACAGGTGTGCACGAATTATCACGTTACCATTTCACCTCTCTGGGCTCCCCTGAAGCCAACTGCATCCATATGTCCACCTCTCCCACCCACACATAAAAACACAGGGCGCTGGGCTGGGAGCACTGGGGTGTTGAGAAGGCAGGAGAGAGCTGGCGGACCCAAGGCATTACCTGCACTCGCATCTGGTCTCAGCCATCGCCTCTTAGTGATGACATCTGCTGTCCTTGCACCCACCTCCTTCAATAGCAACCGCTGCTTCTCTCTAGGAACTCCTCGGGCAAGTCGACTCTCTGTTTCTTGAGCTCCGGGACAAAAGACAGACCGGATAAGCCGCTCCCGGTTGGCTGAGGAATCGCTTCCTCTACCAACGAATGCTGTAATTCCGGTCACCTGGGAAATTAGTTTTCAAGCTGATGCAGCGTGGAGAGAGACCTACCCACCTTAACATCCCGCCGTTCCACCTCCCGCTCTGCGGAGCACAGGTGTAGTCCACCTTTCCTGTACTTCTGGGTGTAAGAAAACACTTCCCTTGGCCGGCGCAAGCCAGAGCCTGGTCACATGACCTACCGTCAGCCCCGCCTCCCCCCCCCGCAACATGACTGCGCAGTCAGCTTGTTTGCGGCAGCCCAGTATCGTGAATGACAGTCTTCTGCCTCTAGGGTGCTTGCTAGAAGACTCTGAAGCTCCTGGCCCAGACAGCTGGAAGGAAGGCTGGGATTTGTTCTGGAGGACCACACGGCTGGCCAGGAACATTCGATGAGCATTTGGGAGATGAAGTTAATTTTTTTTTTTTTTTGAGACGGAGTCTAGTGGTGCGATCCCGGCTCACCGCAATCTCCGCCTCCTAGGTTCAAGCGACTCTCCGGCCTCGGCCTTCTGAGTAGCTGGGATTACAGGTACGCACCACCACGCCCAGCTAATTTTGCATTTTTAGTAGAGATGGGTTTTCACCATGTTGGCCAGGATGGTCTCGATCACCTGACCGCATGATCCACCTGCCTTGGCCTTCCAAAGTGCTGGGATTACAGATGTGAGCCACTGTACCCAGCCGATTTTTAATATTTTGTATATGACTTGAGTGACATACTAAAACACACACAGAATCTGTCTTGAAAAATGCTGGTCAGCAAAACAAACATTCAAACTCCAGTTTGCACCATTAGGATGATCCCTGTTAAAACTTATGGTGTGTGAAGGGAGGCAA